ACCGATTTTCGCTGACAGATTGGAGTTGCCTTGATGCTGTTAGATTGCTTGTCTGAAGGTACTGAACCATCAACATTGTGTACATAGATTTTTTTTTTCCTCAGACAGAGCCCTCATAATCCCTTTAATGTCTGAAGGGATTTCCTCAACAACCCCCACCCCCACCCCCCACAATGCAGTAGCATCTTACTGAATGCTGAGAAATCACAAGCAGCCTGTTCTTCCCAGTGCCCTCAGAGGAGCTCGGAGTGCCTTGCTTGTCGCCTCGCTCTGTCCATATGCTCTTGGGCTTCAAAAAGTTTGTGGACAAATACCATTATCTTTTCATTTCATTTTTCCTTGAACTTTTATGACAACCCCTTGAACACAGTCTGCTGAATAACAAAGAGGAGAAGGCCCCACCTGGTTGAACTGCAGTTCTAAAAGGTTCTAAACAGGGCTGCAGCCTCGTGGAGGCTGCACCTGGCTCCCTCCCCTGAACTCCCAAGTAGCTGTCTGTTCCCCCTCCCGGTACTATCTTCCTTTTCCAGATCTGCAGGATGCTTTATATCTAGGAATCGGAGTATTGCAGGATGGTGCAATTAGTTAAGTACTGGGCCGCTTGACCCAAGGGCTAGAGCTTTAAACTCATCCAGAGACCCCTAAGAAGAAAGGCCAACTTTGCTTCTGAAAGTTCACAGCCTTGGGATCCCCCTGCATCAGTTCTCTGCACACATGGGCTCACCAAGAGCCTGAGCAACTCAGAACAGCCCCAGGAAGGTCGGAGACTTTCCCTTCAGTTACAACGTAAAGGAGGGTTGACGAGGTTTGCAACAGACAGGAAACCTATGGCAGCTGCCTTCAGAGTTTTAAACAAAATCATGAAGGATTTGGGGGATGGAAAGGGAAGGGTGAGTGGAATTCCAGGAAATGGTTGTCTCTCCTGCTTCCTACTCTTTTTCCATAACTATTTTAAAGGCAAGGAGAGTGGGGGACAACTTGTTAACCTGAGCTTTTGGGAGACAAAGATGCCCTTGGGCTTCTGTATGCCAGCTGTTTGGGGCATTTGCTCAGGGAGACAGCCAGATTGTGTAACTCACTTTGCCTTTTGTTTTTCTCATTCTCCTGGGTTCAAGCTTTTGTCAATAATTTTCATAAATAACATTTTATATTGTATGTTTAGGTCAAAAATTCAGACTCAAGAACAAATGAAGGAATCCATAGCAAATCTTATGACAAAAAAGGTAAGTTAGTGAATTTCAGAATAATCATTTCAATATTAATTTTCAATTGCCATTTGGTAGTGACTTCTATGTGCCAGTCCCTATGCTGAGGACCCTGAAAACTTTCACATCCTTCACGGGGTCCAGGGAGGTGAGCCCTGAAAGTATCATGCCTGCAGCCGTGGAAACTACGGCTTAGAGAGGTCAAGGTACTTGTCCCAGTTCATGCAACCTGCACTTGATGCCTGACCTTTGTGGGTGTGAACGTTGATGTGCCCAGCTGCCAAGCACAAGGGTAGAGGTGTGACTCCCCCAGAGGTGCCTTATCCAAAAGAACTAGAAAGCTTCTCCCAACAAGCCGGCCATTAAAAGTCCTGTGGAGAACAGTGCTTCCTGAGACACTTGGAGCCGCCATGAGTGCATCAGTCGGTGGCAGCTGGGTTGGGTTTGCTTTACACGAGCTCAGTCCATTACGGAGGAGACATCTAGTAGCTCAATGCCAAGTACTCAACTGTGAGTGGTGTTCCCTCCCGGCAGGCAGTCTCAGTGGTGCAGCAAAGTAGGTGTGGGCAAACTAGAGTGGGGGCAAACTCGCTCGGGAGTCAGATCTCATTTTACAGCATCTCAGTCTTCCTGCTGTGCCATATTCCAATCAGAAGAAAAGCCGAGATTATTGTAAGCACCCATGGGTCTCTCCCCACCTCTGTCATACGCAAGGGAACTTCAAGCAAATTGTGGGGGAATGTAGCTATGAGATCATGTAATTTCTCCACAAATTTTTTGAAACTCCCTCATGTTTTGAAATATAGTATATTTGTGCAAAAATAATTTCTTTTAGAAGGATCAATGCAAGACTGATCGCAGTGAGGTGGAGGCTAATGATATCTCAAATGGCCAACTTTTCCAAAATGCTTTTCCACTCCATTGAGCCTGTTCACAGCCACCCCTCCTCCCCTCTGTACTCTCCCACACATCCCAAGGTGTTGTAGTTTGCTGCAATGCGTCACAGAATGATTATGACGCTGACGAATCCCAAATATCCATTGGCATCAAGTCAAGCTATTGACTAATCTTGCAGATCACACCACCTGGGAAGCTAAGGGTGGTAACTTGAGTCACACCCTGTTATTTATAAGGCAGGGACTCAGAGACACAGCCCGCCTTCATCCTGCCTCATAACAGATAACTCGCTCCAAAATGCAGCTGTAGGCAAAAGTGCTAGAGTCTAGATTTTACAGTACTTCACAAAAGGAAGGCAGTGGCTAGAAGTGCCATATTAAGTAATTAACTGCATCACAGCCACCCTTTGGCCCTTGTAGCCACTGGTCTTTTCACATGTGAAAGATTGACTTCCACCTTCCCGTCCTTGAACTAGTCTGCCGCACTCACTGGCGGTTTAGTCCTTCAGTGTGGCCGAGGCCTTATGGTGTGGCCACTTAGGTTTCAGCTACTCAGGCTCACTATAGTTGGCTATCTGATCTGGTCAGGTTCCTCAAAAGTTTGTTTTGTCTCATTTTTTTCACTCAACATTATGCTCTCAGATTTAGTCGTGTTGATTTGTATCGTTCTTGTTATTTTATTTCAATTGCTTGTTAATATTCTGTGTGATTCCAAACAACAAAACAAACTCCCTGCCATCAAATCAATGCTGACTCACTGTGACCCACCCACCACCCTGTGGGTTTCTGAGACTGTTTACAGGAATAGAAAGTCCAGTCTCTCTTCCACGGAGCAGCTGGTGGTTTCAAACTGCTGACCATCCAGATCACAGCCCAACGCATAACCCCTACACCACCAGGGCTCCTATCATAGTTATTTTTTGCTACTTTTGTTGGTAGACATTTTGATCTTTCACAACTCTTCCTAATTACAAAGAATGCTCTGGTGTGCGATCACGTACCTATCTCCCAGTACATGTGCTCTGTGCTCATATCGCTAGGGGTGGAGTTGGAGAGTTAATAGATACCTGTTTATCTTTTACTCAGTGAGCCATCAGGTGTGCCAGTTGTCACTTCCATGTGGTAGTGTCAGATTTGTGAATGTTTGCTAATGTGTTGACTCCTTGGACCCTTCTTACTACTGTGTTGCGACACGGGCTGGGGGAAATTGCCTTTAAAGTCTGCTGTGTAAAATCAAGGAGCCCTGGAGGCACAGGTCAGCAGTTCAAGCCTACTTGCCACTCCAAGGAGAAGAAATAGGAGGCTGTTTCCTCCCATAAGGACTTCCAGTCCCAGAAATCCAGGGAGCAGTTCTGTCTGCTCTGTCCTGTAAGGTGACTGTGAGTCAGAAGTGACTCCGTAGCAGCTGGCTTGGTTATTTTTTATGTAAAGTCAGCATTGTGGCCCCAGACAGGTTACGTGCATCGTAAGCCTATTTATTCATCTCCAAAAGAGGCAATAGAGACGCTTCCCTGAATCTGCTATTTAGAGGTTTTGCCAAAAACCAATCTAAAACATCCGTGGCAGTGCCATGTACAAAACTGGACGTCATTCAAATGACTGAATCCAGTTTCCTTCCTTTCCTCTCCCCACCCCACAAAAGAGAGTATTTGAATGAGTAAATATTTGAATTCTTCTTTGCAGAGATTTCCAATGGGACAAAAGACCGCACAGAAATTCTCAGAGGGTTCACCGTTGAAGCAAAGCCCAAAGAGGTGCGTTTCCATTATAATCTCAGTGGTGTTTCCACCTGCACATAACAAAGGGCTTTCTTAGCGGACACAGGCAGTGCGTACTCCAATAAATACTCAATGGCTAAATGGGAAATGGTGCTTAGTAGCCTATTCCCCGTTTCCAGTTAGCGATATATGTAATTATGTTGCTTTGCTGCATTCATATTAAGGGGTCTGCCTATCAGTTTTATAATATGTTGGTAGATGTTAAGAGATTTTTTAGCCTTTTTGCCGAGGTACAATCAGGACTTTTTCATAAGGCTGCTGCCTTTTGGCACCATTACTTACTGGGCTGCGCAGGAGGAGGAAAGACTGCCAGTTGAATAAGGGCCTGCTGTCAGCGGCAGGACATGTCTGGCTTTCAGAGATATCAGTGTTGAAGAAGTATCTTTGGAAAATTCAACGTTCAGGATTATTGAACTATATCCAGTATGTAGCCAGAAACAGATTTGGATATTTCATATGGACTTATATTCAAATCTATAGAAAGGACGCCAGCTTTCAAAATGAGCCCACTCTGAATCTAGGCACCACAAGCATTATTCTAGATTTTGTTAATGTTCATTATAAATTCATTCCAGAGACTAGAAGCGAATGTTTCCCATTTCAGTGGGCTTCATCCAGATTCTCTCGTTGCCTTTAATCCGATCGTTCATAATTCTAGGCTGAAGTTTCGATCCAAGAGGCAGAGAGACCTGTGCCTACAAGGAAAAGAAAGACGCACTATCGCTCTTCCGAGGATGAGCTGGGTGGGTACACGTGAGATCTCTGTTCCTGTTTGAGATGGTCTCTTTAGAACCGTGGTATGTCCCCCACACGGTGGGCCAGCAGCGGGGATTTCCTGAGGGTCCTGGTTTACTCCCCACATTTGGAGGGACCACTGTGCTTTCCCACTGGCTGACCCCTGTACAGCCCTTTCTGGCCCCTGATCAAGAAGTGAGGTTTGTCCCCGCAGAAGACCTATCCCTTGGAACTTAACACAAGCCCATACTGTCTCTGTAACTCACAGAGGGTCACATCTGTGTGGCCCATGGATGTCCTGTCGAGCTCTGTAAATATGCATATGACAGCCCCCTCTGCTCCGTCCTGTGGGTTCCTCCTGACCTGTCCCAGTGCCATCTGATAGAGCCTTCTGCCTGGAAGGCACAGCTTCTCTCATTGGCTTGTCTAGTACAGTAGGCGCTGGACACATGTGCCCACTGATCCTCTGAATGTAGCTCATGAAATGGCACTAAATACAATTTGTCATTGTATTTACTTTTAGTTAATTTAAATAGCCACAGTGAAGGGTAGCTGCTATATCGGACCGTGCGTAAACCGTGCGTAAACACAGTACCCGTACGGTAAACACTCACTCAATGAAGACATGGGGTAGAACGGATAGTCTGCTTTGCCCCTTTTGGTTAGCAATATCTGATTATGTTCCAGTCATGTATCGAGTCCCCACGGTGCCTGGGGAGCGTGTGTCCGTACAGTCTCAGTTCATCTTCTCACCTCCCTGTGAGGGAGGGTTAGCATCACATTGCAACAATGGAAGTTAAGGTTCCAAGAGGCCCAGCCCTCACCTAAGTCATAAATAAATCTGAGTCCAGAGCCCCAAGGTCTTAAGTTATGACTCTGCTGTGACCATTCTTAGTGGTCCTCGTTCAGGATGTCGAAGTATTGCTGGGAACGTTGTTTGTCCTTACACTCTGTCCATAGAACGTACTGTTACTTGTCATTTCAACGTTTGCATCCGGGGATGGGGTGGGGGTGGAGGCTGCTCTTCCTCAGGAGACCGAAAGCCGGTGACCAGTTCTTAAGTCATCTGAACTTGTCATCCACAGGGGAACTAGCAAGGTCTACCCATGTGACTATTAAGGAGCCAGAGATAAGCCGAGTTCACAGACCCACATGCACACAGCAGCAAAGAGTTAAGCTGGCTTCATTAAAGCATCAGGTCACTTCAAAAGAGATGAAGCGGGCCGTCCCTTGTGATGAGGACACCAGGAGTCTAAATAAGATTTGCCTCAAGAGCAAATCGGAGCCCCTCTGGAGTGGAGAAGAGGCCGTGTCAAGGAGGAGGCATCTAGTTTCTAAAGGCACAGTTTCGAAAGGGCAGTCAGACAGCTTTCTGGTTAGTTGCTTAGTCCATCCTTGGGTCTCATGCATAGTTTCTTCCAAATTTCTCTCGGCTCCAGCTCCAAATCAGGATATTTCAGATGTTCCCCAGGGCCAGGCTTCAAGGTTAAAGTGTTTACCACACCTGTTCTTATAGGGTCTCCTTTGTCCATTCCCTTAGCAGGCAGTAGCCCCTGTTCTGTCTCTGTCACTTATAAATACCTTTAGAACTACTTGAAATGCCATGGAGTCATAAGCCTAGAAAAGGAGTCTCGGGCTGTCTTACATAGAATTTCCTTTTCATTCAGCCTTTATCCCTTTGTGATTCTGTCCGCACTGGTCTGCAGATGATAGTCCAGATGCTCCGGAGTCCAGGAGAGAGAGCACCCGGAGGCCTGGCCCAGAAACCGAATCACGAGGCGCAAAGGTAGGGTCTCCCCCAGTGAATTCTGAGCCCTGGGGGTAACCCAGTTGTATCAAGCTGAGTACTTATTCTGATTTTCATCCTTGCCTTTTGCCTTGTGTATCTCTGGTAAGAATCACTTTCTTATTCAAGGTGCATATTTTTTAGGCTCCCCCTCAGAAGACAAACCTTGTACTTTATCATTCTAAAACTGCAGGCGTCTGTTAATATCACAGTTCAGATATGATTATTACTCACACGTTTGTTCAATCCATTTTTCTGTCGCTGTTCACTTTTGTAAGATACTATTTTCCCCTTCATCTGAGTTAGCTATTCATTCCTGTTCTTGACTTCTTTATGTTTGTGTGTCTGCCAGACTGTTTTCCCCCAAAACATGATGTGCTTTTTGCCTGCACCCAAATGTTGACATACGAGAAAAATAAGAGCAGGAAAAAGGAAAGTGAATTGCATGCCACCCCCTGCAATCTGCCTAAATGTTTACGGGACCAAAATGTGGCTCTGAGGGAATGAGCCAGCTTGGGGAGAGAGGGCAGTGCCATCTGCTCTAGTGGTTTGAAATCGGTGGGAGGTGACTCTTCAGCCACATGAATTCCACAGATTAAAATGGAGCTCTTCTGGCTGAAATGAGGGAGGAGACTCCCCAACCCACCATCTCCACCCCCGCACCCCCACCCCCACCCCCGCAGCCCTGAGTGCACTCACCGCATGCCCAGAACACCTCCAGAGACGACAGCTGAGAGCCACAGCACAGCTTGAGTCTCGGGACTGCTTACTCAGGAGACGCGCTTCAGCTTTCCCAAGCGTACCTTCGAAACGAGCCCCCTCGGGCACCAGCGGTGGTGGGAAGAAACAGTAGAACTTGCTTTTGTCTGAAAGAAAGTAAGCGCTGCTAAGCCGTAACCATAGGTGGCCACTGGGGCCATGAGGGAGTCAAGCATCTAGGTCATGGTCAGGTGTGTGATTGTATTCAAGGGCTTCAGGAAAAGCTGCGAGCTCAATACAGACAAGGGAATGGCCCCTTGCTGGTTTTCCCAATTTCAGCCTATTAAAAAGTTAAATGGACATTCTCTCTGCTCAGCTGTATGTGCAGTCTGTCAGTCGACTTTTCATTGCATCAGCCCCTCCAAAAGGAACCCTGGCTTAGAGTGCAGTTTATCACAGATGAAACACACAGCATTTCCTCTAGTTCTTGAATGTTCCCCCCACCCCCACCCAATCATGACCCCAATTCTACCTTAGAAATCCAGCTAGACCAGAGCATGTGCACTGGTACAGATAAGAGCTCTCAACACACAGAATCCAGGACAGATAACCCCTTCGGGACTAGTAATGGGCGTAGCAATACCATGAGGGTAGGGAAAGTGGAGGGAGAAAGAGGGGTCCGATCTCGATGATAGATGTATGACCAGCTCTCTGGGTGCAGTCCTGTTGCAGTATGTTCACCAGGTCTGTTCTCATGGGTTCTTGGTTTCTAGCTTGTATTCACAAGGACCTTTGTTCATTCCCGTAGCAAGCAAGCCAGAAGCCCATCTTCTGCCCCTAGCACTGGATATTGGGAAGGGGAAGGCCAGTGGGGCATTTCACTTTAGACCCTTCTGAATATTAATCCAAAAGAATGTATTTTTGTTCATGAGTAAAGTGGTAGGCAGATAGTTTGGCTTTTCATGTCCTAAGTATCTTTGCCACTAACGAAATCCCCAGGGTGGAAATAACTGAGAAAGCAACCACTGTCACTGAGCAATCTGTGCAGATGGTGCTGAGTGGGACACTCAGCCACTGTGTACACCTTCACCAGAGCACGTAATGAAATGCCATCTGAGAGGGGGGAAACCATCTTTACCAGCCACAAACCAGTTACCGTGGAGCTGACCCACGCGCCGTAGAGCCGACTGTGTTCCGTGGGGTTTCAGTGGCCTTTCCAGATGTGGATGACTGCTTCTGGGTGGACTTGAACCTCCAAGCTTCTGGGTTTGCCAGGGGGAATAATTGAACTGTTAAGCGAGTGAGACCCCAGTGGGTGGGTCGGTCAGTCTCTCTCTCTCTCTCTCTCTCTCTCTCTCTCTCTTTCTTTCTGATGGTTTCTTTTGGTGCCTTCTCCCTCAGCCCTGCCTTCCACCACAAAGGAAAAACACTTTGTTGCTAGTTCATGTTGGTTCTCTCCTTGGAGTTTCTCTAAAAAACCAAGGTCAAGGATGAGGGAGGGAAAGACTGGTGCCCAGTGTGCAGGGAGGGGATGGCCTTGCCACCTGAGAGTTGAATCTTACTTTGAGGGTTTCTGGCTCAAAATTCTTATCTGTTTTCATAGTCTCAGTAATGGATACTTTTTCGAAACATTTCCCAGTGGACAATCATAAGAGACAACTGTGTTATTGAAGTTGAGGGGAAAGCTTGGGGGAGGGGGAGTGAGGCAATGACTTCTTGTCTTGTTGTCCACCTCCATAGGGAGAGAGCTCCAGGGATCGAGAGCAACTGTCCGAGACAGGTTGTAAGACAAACAGCATGATGTCAAAGACCACAGAAGAAAGAGGTATTCTTATTCTTATTCTTACTCTTATTCTGGGTCACTTCTTAGAAGAAGTGACTGAGGCTTCGAAAAGGCACCCCCGCTGGCTGACTCCACAGTCACCAGCTCTCTGGCGCTTTGGGAGCCTGTGGGGATCACTTGCCGTGAGGTCCTTGTTCTCCCCAGAGGGTGCTACTTTACCAGCTCACCAAAGCCAGGCTTTTGGATTTGGGCGGCGTGGGCGTGAGGGTGGCAGTGTTGTACTTGCCGGGGGTGCCGTTGCCTTGGTGCTGTGGTGGCGGTGCAGCGTGCTCTGGGGCTCCCGGCAAGCTGACTCCCTTTTCTGCAGATGAGCAGAGCAGCAGTGAAGCCACTGGTGAGAAGACAGAGCAGAACGAAGAGGACAACCTGAAATCTCAGGAGGCAAGATGCACGCCGTTCCCTCTTTACGTGTTGGGAATGATATATAAGACCAACGGACAAATGTCTTAAAACCTGTTAGGTTTTACTTTAGTACTTTTGGTGGCCCCCTTTTATTTCCAGTGCAGCAGGCACCATCCTCACAGTGCCTCTGGTCAGTGTCACTGCGATGTTCTGTGTCCCTCCCTCTTCATTTCACCAAGGCACTGGTGTGAGACCCACTTATGTCACGACCAGGTGGTCAGCCCAAAGCGCTGGCGGCAGGGTCCTGCCCTTAACGGCGTCACACTGGCAGGCCAGGCCCCGACCGGAGGCCTGCAGTGCTGAAATGGGGGCAGAATGGGAGTGCAGAAGGCAAAGACAGGGCCCCAAAAGACCAAGGCACTGAGACCAGGCTCCCAAAAGGGTGCAGGAGTGGAGAGCTCCCACTTAGATGTGCAGGGATCCTGCAGGGTGGCGAACTGCAGCCACCTGAGGCAGAGCCCACTCATCTGGGAATCAACCTTGCACACCAGCCAGTTGTTCTTTGGCTCTTCTGCAGGACCCATCGCTGAGCTTGCCAAGTTTTTAAGCAGGTTCTCTTTTCTTATTCTTTTGTGAGAGACCCAGGGGCTCTGTTTGTCTTTTAAGGGAGGGCCTGTCTGTTACAGAGTAAACGCTAGAGTTGTCTCATAACCCAGAGTTCTCAGGACCCTGTGAACTTACACCCATGCCCCACCTTTCTCACGAGAGGGGGCTGTAGTGAGGGAAGCGAGGCACTCAGACTGGGTCACCGGACTTCTCAGTGATGGTGCTTTGCGCTGTGTCTGATCAGGTAGGGACTCTGGGTGGCCTTAACCCAAGGTTGGTGGTCTGCTCCCATCAGCGGGCCAAGTGGACTCGCTCCACGGCCAGGGCAGCCTCTAAAGTGCCATTCTGCGCTCACTCGTGAGGTCACCATGCCAGTCAGCATCAACTTCACAGTGGCTCACACATGGCAGACAGCACACCGAGAAAGTGAGCTTCCTGTAGAACAGCCACGGCCCTTGAGTTGAGTCCAACTCACAGAGACCCTGCGCAGGGTTTCTGAGAGGGGAAGTCTGTTCTCTGGCAGAGGGCCTCACCTTTCTCCCGCAGAGCGGCTGGTAGGCCTGAACCACAGACCCTGTGGTTACCAATCCGACAGTGACCCGCCAGTGCCACCAGGGCTCGTAGGTGTGCACTAGAGAATGGGAATGCTTGTTGCTGAGGTTTGGCTTGATGGATGATCCTGTGTTGCCCTTTAGGAAGATCAGCCCGTGGTTGTGAAAAGGAAACGAGGAAGACCTCGGAAGTACCCCATGGAAACTGTGACAAAAACAAGTAGGTATCCGTGGATGTGCAGGTCACACCGGGATGTTTGCACACTAACGTTCAGTGGGATTTCTGTTGTTTTTCAGAAGAAGACTCCAAAGCAGAACCTGGCGCTGCCACGGTAAGTAATTGCAAAGAAATAACAAACTCTTCCGGGTCTGAATTTGACCTTTTTGAAAGGTCCTAGGGAGGGCTTCCAGAAATGTCCTTCTCTTCCTTCCATTTTGAAGCCCCTGCCTCCCCCGCCCTGGACTGCAGCCTCTAATACATTGAACTAAGTGAGTTTTCCCGTTTGAAAGGCTAAAATTTTTTACTTTTATTTTTCTAATTGTTTTATTGATATATAATTCACATATCATGCACTTCACTAGTTAGATCATATCAGAAAGAATAGTACAGTCATCACCACACTCAGTTCCGGAACATTTTCCTACTTGTTTTGTTCGTTGCTACTAGGTCCCTATTTCCCTCCAGCCTCCCTCCCATACCCCCAGTAAGCCATTAATGTGGTTGCTGGCTATATTGGTTTACCTATCTTGGATTTACCTATCCTATATTGGAAAACATACTTAAAAAAAAAACGAGCAAGAACAAAATAAACCAGAGAAAAAAACTCAATCAAAAAAGAAAATAGAAAATAATAAAAGCAAGAAGAAATTTAAATGGGTCAATGGAGATCAAATGCTAAACTTTGAGTCACCATTCAAATGACCTTCTGATTTGTAATCTCTTCCTCAAAGCAATGTGCGAGTGACTTGTTCTCCATTCTGACTCCCTCCTCCCGCCTGGGTTTGGTTACATAAAGGTAGGCAGGCTTGGCTGAGGGTCAGAAATGCCTGCTTTTTCTGATTCTCAGATTATGGTTTCTTCATGGAGATCACTGAGGGATCTCCATTTTACTGCCTTCTTAAAAAATTAATTTGAGGAATTAAGTATACACTGATGTTGATCAGTAGAGAGCCTCAGTCATACAGTTGTTTTATGCATTTTTGTCTTGGTCCCTAAAATATAAACCTAATGAAATCCTTGTATGAAGGTTTCGTTGCATGACTTTTACTGAAAGCGTTGTAAGGAGCGTGAGCACGAGTCTGCTGACCTCCCACAAAGGAAATGGCAGGCAGGCCTCAGATCTGCCCTGACTCGTAGACCTCCCTGGCAGGCACGTCCAGGCCTCCCATCCCTGCTGTCACGTGGTGGCAGTCCTTAAGGACTGTTGTGAAACTTAAGTGCTGGCTATAGGTGCAAGTGCTGAGTGGGCAGTGGTTACGGGTCAGGGAATATTAGTATAGTGGCCCTCCTGCATGTCTCCTGTCCCCACCCTGGCGTGGCAGCCGGGTCACTGAGAAGGAGCCTCACTGCCACCCTCACGCTCATGGTGGACAGGCTGGGTGTTCAGAAGCCTGAGGATCTATATTTGCTTGTTACGTTGAATCCGGGACAGAGAACGTTACCACCTCTACATACCACCTTATTTTCTGCCTTCAAGTCACACCCCATTCAGGCCGGTCCACTGTGTGAAGAGTAGCCCTGCTCCACAGGTGTTCAAGGCTGTGACCTTTGGAATATGACCAGGCCTTCTCCAAGGAGCCTCGGGGTGGTTTCGACCCACCAACGTCTCAGCTAGTCACCCAGTACTTAGCCTTCTGTGCCACCCAGGAACTCCATGCACAGTAAACAGGGGACCTAAAGTCTCCTGTCGCGCTTGATGACATTCTACCCCATGTTTTGGAAATCTGTGCCTGTCTCAGTTTCTGTCTGTTTGTTTACATTTAGGTAGAGCCACCTCCCCCGAGCAGTAGAGTGAAAGCCATACTAACAGGTATGTACCTGCAGCGTGCCCCCTGGGTGTGAGGGAAGCTGGCTGCTGGGAGTTGTGTTCTGTTTTCTTCCTGAGGGCAAAGCATCCCCAGCAAAAGCCACTGTCCTACTGGGTCTCTCTGGGTCGGCATCACCTCTGGGGGTTCTACCCTGCAGAGACTGCACCTGTTGACTCTTCCTGTGGCCTGAGTCAGTCTTGGGATGAAACATTTAAAGCACAACCTCCTGCTCGTGCACAGCACCCCTGCAGAAGGACGCCCAAGCCCTGGAAGGGGTGGATGGCCAGGGAGAGGAGGGGAAGAGAGGACGGGGGTGGGGGCAGGTGGAGCTTTGCCAGTGGACGGAACACTGAGCTGTCACTGAGAACCCACCTGGACCTTTTCACTCTCACCTAAGAACTTATCATTGGTGCTAAAAGTTAAGTCTTGAAATAAACATGAAAAACAACCTCTGTCCTTAAGGGGATTAAAGCTTCTTTCAGGAAGAGAGTAGGAAGTGGTCATGCCATAAGTGCCAAGTGACAGAAGGAGCACCCTCCCTTTGGTGAGGGGCTCACTGGAGGCTTGAGATGCTGGGGCAGCCATCAGAGAGAAGTGAAGGCATCCCATCTATGGACATAGTGCACACTGCAATGTCTGCCACAACTCAGAGCCTATACAGAGAGAGAGAGAGAGCGCTGTCCATGCCGTGAGCACTGTCACTAGGAAGGACAAGGCCTCAAGAACCTCGAGTCCTCAGAAGGTCAGAACTTTGAAAGTATCCACAAGATGGAAGCACCTCACTCACACATGTCCACGTGGTAGGTTCCAAAGATCAGGACTTTAGGTGAAAGTCGGCGTTTTGTAAACATGGAGGAGGAATGCATCATGTAACAACTGCCAAAGTACATCAACCAAAAACTCCAGACCACTGAGAATCATGGCCCAGCCAAGTGAACCTCAGCCATCACAGCCAGAGCTTCTTGTGACTCACACATCAACATCAACATCAAAATGTTGGTGCTGCGTGTCTCTAGGTAGTGGGATGTGGATGCATTCCCAATGACCTGTTTAGGTGGTCCTCCCGAGATTTCTAATAAGGTGGATATTATGTTCCTGGTTCAGAGTTTGGAATGCAAAGCAAGAAGAGCCCTCCATGGGCTTTACAGGGTGGAAATGCACCACCTAAATCCATGTGACAGTGTCTTTGGATCCAGTGTAATACATGGTCACATCAGGAATGTGTATGTTCTGACCAGGAAGATACAGCACATACGTTGGTTTAAATCTTTTTCACACATCCATTTAACCGTGTGTGATCCTGCAGTTATGCTTTCTTTGATCGCTACAAAATCATGATGTGTCTTTGTTTTAAGTGGTGAGATTTTACTGGTGTTTGGTTTTTAACCAGTTTTCATGCGTGGTGTTATACTATGTCAAATGTGTACAACAAGAAGTCTCTGTAACGTGCGTGCCCCGTCAAGATGGTGATGTGTAAGTAGTAGTAGCACGGTTTTGCAGTCCTCTCACTGTCTTAGGATGGCTGTTTGACATTAGTTTTCTGAGTCCGGGCAATGATCACATTATGAACTCCTTCTTTGTATCTTGATCCGATCGACAACAGTGGCTGCCAACAGTGGGCTTAGAGAAAACAGAAAAGATTGTGGAGATGACGCAAGAATGGGCAGTGTTTCCTTCTCTTGAGCACAGTGTTGTTAGGGGTCAAAACCGACCCCAAGGCGCTCAATAACAGCAACATCTTCGTTATTGTTAGGTGCCTGGCACGTGGTTTCGACTCATAACGACCCTATGTACGACAGAACGAAACACTGCCTGGTCCTGCAACGTCCTCACAGTTGTTGTTATGTTTGAGCCCCTTGTGGTGGCCGCTGGGTCAGTCAATGTCCTTGAGAGTCTTCCTCTGTTTTACCGACCGTCTGCTTGGCCAAGCATGATGTCCTTCTCCAGGGGACTAGTGTCTCCTGATGACATGTCGGGAGTGCTTGAGAAGGCTTTGTCAACCTTCCTTCTCAGGAAAATTCTGACCTTACCCCCTTCCGAGTTAGTTCTGGGCTCATCATTCGTAGGTTGAAATGATAGAATAGGCCCACCCTGTCTGCGTGTTTGCCATTATCTCCCATCGTTTTCATTTCAAACCAGGCATTGGACCTAAGTTCCTTTTTCTTGCTAGGATGCATTCTCAGTAGCATGTACACAAAGCAAGTGTACAAAGTCGAGGCCACGCAGCTTTTAGCAGTACTAAAAGCTTGAGCACTTTTTTCATTTCCATGGCATACACATTTGGAGTCAGAAGAATTCGAGCCATTACCCTATCTATTAGTTTTGTGACCCTGACCAAGTGAGTAAGTTATGTGAGCCTCGTTTCCTGACCGCAGAATGGGGACTGGCTACTGGGAGGGTTACATGAAGATCTGAATGAAGTCTACCCCAAGGTTCTGGATTTGGAGGTCATTGGACTTTGGTTCAGATCTCCTGCTCTGTAGTTGCCCCGTAGATGGGAGCTCAGGACTACCAGTAGACTGACTCCATACCCCGTGGGGGTGATTCATTGTGTTCCCCAATAGAAGGGTAATGTCTCTGACGTGGACTGGGGACACAGATATGCCCCAGGCTAAGGCCCCTCCTCACTGTGCTTCATGGATGGCCCTTTTCTCCTGCTCTTTTTCCGGGTTCAGCGCATTTGAGATGAGACCAGCCTAACAAAACAAACCCATTGCTGTGGAGTCGATTCTGATTCATGGCGAGCCTGTAGGACAGAGGAGAACTGGGCTTGTGGGTTCCGTAGGCTGTGATGTCTACGGGAGCAAGCCCGGTGGTTTTGTGGTCCACAGCCCGCTCTTAGCCACTGGGCTCCCTGGAGCTAAAGGAGACCCTGCAGGTAACCTAGCCCCACTCCTTATTTCTCACACGGGAAGGCTGAGGCTCAGGGAGTTTCCACGATCTGTCCAGACCACACAGCTCACTGCGGAGAGCCTGAACCTAATCCTCACCCACATCCTGATGTCGGCTCTCTGCTGGGCTTTCTGACCCTCGTTTGCGTGACTGGCACATGGTGATCACAACTACTGATATACAGTGACTTGTCACACAGACAGCAAGTCAGGTAGTTGAGAATCCAAGTTGATGCTGCTGAGTACGCACAAGGAGCCCATGTGGTCTGCACTCAGCCGCTGACTGAAAGGTGGGCAGGCAGGGCCCCCCCAGCGGCCCCACAGGAGAACAACCTGCCCTTGTGAACACTCAGCGTCTGGGGTGGGCGGGCGTTTTTCTCAGTCACACGGGCTATTAGGAAGGAGTCAAAACCATCTCAGCGGCGCCAGCAGCCAGCAGCAAATACTAAGGCTGTGCTTTCCCTTTCTTACAGACGAGTCCAACAAGGACGCTGTGAACCCGCAAGAGAGGAGCATGAGCAACGTAAGTGCTCCCTTTCTTGTCACACGTCTCCCTGTGCAGCTCAGTAATTATCCCGGGGCGCAGGGTCATCACCGATTGTCTTGCTTCTAGGAGGACGGGGAAGAAAAGTCAGTGGCGAGTGTGCGTCGGAGAGGAAGGAAGCCCAAGCGCTCTCTCACCTCAGACGACGCCGGTACGCCTCCGTTCTTCCTGCCCGAGCTTAGCCACGGGTCTCCGTCACAGCCACCTTTCCTAAGAGTTGTCCGTTGCCTGAGGGACGGGCCCATGGAGTGAGTGCAGCTCATACAGTCACATTGAGTAAATATGTGCGGGATGGCTCTAATCCCATGTCAGAAGTGCGACATCCCAGGTGCTTCTGAGTCCATGTGTGTTGTTCCTGAATGCTGGCTGTGAGCTGTCTTAAGTAAACGATGCCCCGTGTGTTTGAGGGGAAGTTAAACAGTGTGAACTGCAAGAGCTGGGACACAGAGGAAGTGGAAAAACCACTCCTTCCGCCTCGCAGTTCCATCCTTGGCTCCTCTAAACCCCATGCCTCTGGCCGAGCATGGAATTGCCTATGGGAACAGCTCAACCCAGATGTGACCCCTGTATTTGAACAGAATCCTCAGAGCCAGAAAGAAAACGCCCGAAATCCGTTTCGGATGGGGCTGCCGCAGCCGCCGCTGCCACTGAAGACAAGAAGGACCAGGAGTCTGAGGAGGAAGAGGATGAAGAGGAGGAAGAGGAGCCTTCGGGAGCCACCACACGATCCACCACGAGACTGGAGGCTCAGAGGTAAAGGGGGAACCTAACTTCTAACGGGCTGTGCCGGCTTTCCCACGATAGAGCAGCATCCAGCCGGCTCTGTGGGATTCCCCTGTCGGTACCTGCAGCCACAGCAGGCATCTCCTGCAATGACCCTGCAGCGGCAGTACGTGCTCTCAGGCCTCTGACGTGTATCCCTCCCCTCACCGTCTCTGGGGATCACTTCAGAGTCTGTGTCGGGTTGCACCTGCCTGTTGGGTAGATCCCATTCTCTTTATTGTCTCAGACTGTGCCGAGCTGTCCATTCCGACTCCTAGTGCCTCTGTAGGGTTTCCCAGGCTGTCCATCTGTATGGGAACAGACAGCCGCTGCTTTCTCCTGAGGCGCACCTTGTGGGTTTGAACCGCTGACCTTGGGGATAGCAGTGCGGAGCTTACCCAGCAGCGCCACCAGAACTCCTTAGGAGTGGACATAGAGGTACATGAAGCAGGTCTGCACCCTCGGAGCTCCCTGTAGTACGAGTGAGGACACAGGTACAGGCACAGCTCTGTCGGGTACATCTAGCCAGAGCGGGGTCATCAGTGGATGCACTGAAGCTGTGTCCTGGCACGGGAGCGGTTTCCTGTGTTCCCCTACAGCTATACTCCCAGACCACCATTTAGTCAAGAGTCTAGAAAAATGGCTCCGGGGCAAAGGAGTTTAGGGTTGCCAGTGAATGCTCTCCCCCTCTTAGAAAGTCATAAACCCAAACCAAGCCCACTGTCACAGAGTGGATTCTGACTCATAGTAAACTATACAGTGTTTCTGAGACCGTGAACTTTACTGGAGCAGACAGCTCTCATCTTTCTCCCTCAGAGCAACTGGTGGGTTTGAACTGTTGACCTTGTGGTTAGCAGCCTAATGCATAATCCAAAACACTGCCCTGGTCTGCATTTGGGGCTTGACAAAGCCCTAACAGGGAGAAACATGTCTCCCTTTGTTCAAGCAAACATCTGACCCATTCTCCCCATTATTGAAGTCTGGTGGCACCATCAGACGAGCGTGAGACTGCTAACTGCAAGATTAGTAGTTCAATCCCACTAGCCCTGCCCTGGGAGAAAGATGAGGCTATCTGCTCCCACAGAGCTACAGCCTCAGAAACCGTGCGTGGGGCTGCTTTGAGTCGGAATCTCAACTTGAGGGCAGTGGGTGGGTCTTTGCTGATTTTTCTCCAGTTCCCCTTCAGTTATGAAGCTGTTCTCACCAGTGAGTAACTCTGCCACGTGTTGGGAAATGTCGGTCCACTATGTCCCTTCATCCTAATGGCCATTCTCCTTTGGTAGCATGATCCCCTGGCTGCTCATTTTGGTGTCATCTGCTGTGACTTCTTTATCCAAGGTTCATAGCGAGTTCAGCAACATCTATTCCAATGCTGTGGCTTAAAACACCTGTCACTCGAATATCACAGTACCTGATATTTACGTCCAGGTGTATTTCTGACCTCTCCAGTGGGCACATAGTGAGCCGCTTTTGCCATGGTTTCCTGCCCCCGGAGACTTTAGGAACTCACATGGCTAAAGGTAAGGTGACACCCCATGTTGGCTTTTCAGGCAGGCAGCTAGGGTAGCTCACAACCCCCCCCCCCAAGATTCTTGCTGATGGGTTGGGGGCATTGCTGCATCCACTGCACCAGAATCCCTGCCTCCCCCCACAAAGCCCCGTACACCAGGGCTCCCTCCCAGAAAGTTCCACAGGCCTTCTAGCCCTCTTCAACTCATGTCTAGTAACAGCTAGCAGGTTTGTCTTTTAAAGTTCCCTCTTCTAAAGTAAACCTTACTAGATTCCTCTGGTTCCACAAGGAAGGCTTGCTCTTAATGTATTTTAGAAACTCTCACTTGACAAATGGATCCTTTTCTCTTTATCGTGTACATTGTTTGGTGCTGGGTCTTCGTAACATCACAGGTTCTCAGGGTTGGTCAGGCTCAGCCGTCCTACTAACCGAGCAGCCCGCTGGCCCCTGGACCACTCACTCCCCTCAGCTCCTCCTGGTGGGAGGGAAGCCACTTCCTCCTCAGGATCCTCTTCATGGGTCCCATAGGAGCTGGCCTCTCTGTAGCTTCTGCTCTTGGGGTCTTCGAGGGTCTTCCTCTTGAACCTTGGCGGGCAGCTTCCGGGTCTTCTCCTGGTGCTGCGCCCCTTGCCATCGCTTTTCCCCTGTGTTGAACGTTGTCCACTTGAAGAAGCAATGTTCTGCCCCAGATGTGGTCTGAGGACTCCAGGAGAGGGTTGTCAGCACCTTCCTTTGCAGGTCCTGTCAGTATAGCTCGACCTGCACTGCAGCTAAACAAGGCCTTTCTCGAGATCCTTTCAGACCTTCTCTCCACCTGCCACCTGTGCAGCTGGCGCTTGGGACCAAGTTATTGGGCCTTGACATTTCACCTTGTGACTTTGCTTTGACTATCTTGGTCACTAACTCGACTCTGATGAGCTCTTTGGGGTTGAGTCTCCATCATGTCCATCAGTGGGCAGTGGGCTTTCTCTTTTCCTGTGTGTCCTCTGTCCCTTCTTTCAAAGTCACAATAAAATGTCATACACAGTAAATGCAAAGATAGTAATGGTCATGGGTGACATTAATGGCCTTTGTCCCATGGCTCCAGCCCACCCATGAGCTGCCTCGGCCTCCTGAGTCAGCCCGGGCCTGGCGTGTCCAGGGCTCCCTTCCACCTCCCTATTGCCCAGTGTCTCTATAATCTGTTTCAGAAAGCATCATAGCGGCCCACCTGCACGTGCAGCATGCAAACTTGGCAGCCCAGAAACAATTTCTCCCAGAAATCGCCAAAACTTAGCAAAAGAGAAGTTATCCACCAGGGAGAAAGTTAGTAAACCTCCCCCATTAGGAAGGTAAGTCCCTGCTTTCCCTCGTGCCCTGGTTAACCCCCCAGAGAGAGCTCGTCCCTGTGAAGTGCTTTGCCTCACCACCTTGTCTCGGGCTTGGGGGCCCTTGGTTTCCAAGAGAAAGAGGCAGAGCTCCTCTTGTGTCTGCCTTGCTCCGGCCCTCTGCCGCCCCCCGGGCCAGGCATGTCTCCTCCAAGGGCGCCTGTCTCGGGGTCCTCAGCACCCTAGGAGTTCATTGAGGGAGGAGAAGGGTGATAGAGTGGGTATTCTTGGCTGGCCCACCAGCTCTCGCTCCCACCGGCTGCCCGAATCCTGCAGCTCCGCCTTTGCTTGTGCGCCACCAGCCTCCCAGCAGACCGGGTCCTTCCCATCCTCTGAGCCTGCCTTCTTCAAGACGCCTCCCCTGCCGCATGGCCTCAAAGTCAGGCACTCGCGTGACTTCCTGTGCATCACGGCATCCGAAAAGAAAAGCCTGCTCACAGTATAAAGAGCCGTTTGTGGCACCTCCTAACCCTGTGGCCTTCCAGTGTGTGGGCCTTGTCATGCCTGAGTTAGGGAAAGGAAGCTCCAGTGCCTGCCTGCCTGCTGCGTAGACCACTCATTCACACCTCTCCACCATGTGCTACAGGGCGTGTCCCCATCGTAGACCTGAGGGAAGATCCACAGAGAGCTCTGGGTCCCCTTCCCACCCCTGAGAGCAGGCAGGCAGCTCCCCTCAGCCTCTGGGCAAAGTGCCGGTTCTGACTCGGCAGGACTGAGTGGGAGGGGAGATGCGGCCAGCTGAGCTCATTGGCTGACTCCCAGAAACTGCTCCGTAAACAGGCGTCCCTTTGGAAGCCACCATGGTCTTCCTCGGACATAGCATGCAAGGAACGGGCTGTTAACAGCACAGCTTTCCCGCCTCTGTCAGCACTAGGTAACATCATCTCAGAACTGCAGCGTCTGCTACAGCACATTACTCGATGTGACTCCGTGCGCTTTTTTCCCAGGAGAAAAAAGTATTCTCCACCTGCTGTTTCCTTTTACCCCGTGTTTGCGCCCACTGCTAGGTAGTGTCGGTCTTGGCTCACCCCCGGTGGTGCCGTGCACCAGAAGTGCAGCAGGCTGGCCGTTCACACCCTTTCAAGGGAAAGACCTGGCAGCGAGCTGCTGTGAAGATGGCAGCTGCCAGTTCACACACACCTAGCCCCACCCCCACCTCCAGAGATGGGCAGAGTACTGTTGCGTGAAAGGCGTCCTGGAAAAGTACGCTAGTGGTGGAAACGGTTCTGTATGACTTCCTACCTTGGTGGACAGCAGGCTGTCGAGAGCCTGTTTCATAGCCCAGCCGGTGCTCACACTCTTGCTTCTGCACTGGAGCAGTGATGCCAGTGCACAGGGTCCCAGGCGCGTCTCCATAGGATGATAGACAGGGTCCCAGGCGCATCTCTGTAGGATGATAGACGGGGTCCCAGGCGCGTCTCTGTCGGATGATAGACGGGGTCCCAGGCGCGTCTCTGTCGGATGATAGACGGGGTCCCAGGCGCGTCTCTGTTGGGTTCCCCTGTGTTGTTTAGGCGCGTCTCCTGTAGATGATAGACGGGGTCCCAGGCGCGTCTCTGTCGGATGGTACATGGAGGGGGAAAATCATCTCTGTTGGGTTCCCCTGTGTTGTTTACAGAGACTGGCTGTAGCTTCCAGGGTATAAAATGCAACGTGCCTTGGCAGCCCGTAGCAAGATAGGTCTTCTCAGAGGAAAGTTGGCTGTCTCTGAAGTCATTCATTACCTTTGAACTGGGCCTTAATAATGAAGCTCACCAGGTGGGTAGTGCAGGGGCTCCTTGCCAAAGCCTGAGGCCTGGTGGGATAGCAGATACATGTTGGCCCGTGATCTGCATGGTCAGCAGTTCGAAACCACCAGCAGCTCCTCAGGAGCAAGACTGGGCTTTCTACTCCCGTGAACAGTTACAGTCTCAGCAATCCACAGGGGGTCTCTTTGAGCCTCCATTGACTCAATGGCAGTGAGGTTTGGGTTTGGGGTTTGTGAGTGTGAAGCAGCGAGAAGGCCTCATCCTGCAGCAGGCATGGACTCCCAAGTAGTGAGACAAGGCGATGACGTCAATGCTGCAAACTGAAGGCGTCTCCTCTTATAGACGGTGTAGACACACAGACAGATAAGTGCGTCTGTTGTAGCCTCTGATGTAATTTTACATTCTAAATTGCATGAGTTCATAATGCCATTGTTATAGATTATTTTTCCATAAGGCGTGTGTGTGTGTGTGTGTGTGTGTGTGTGTGTGTGTGTGTG